GAGGTTTGGCCCCCCAGAGAGGCTTCAAGTGCCCCATAGAAAGGAGTCACCCACAAATATAGTGACACTATTGTTATTATTATACCATGACAGTACGTGTGCACTTTGATACGATGGTTCATATATCAGATGAAGACAGCCTCTGCCCACGCAGTGCAGTGTCCTCAGCATCCCTGGTGGCAGGATGGATGCAAGTTATTCCCCTGTTGGAGGCCACCCCCCACCCCCACCCCCGGTTCTCAAGCCCAGTGCTGCCTGCAGGGGGACTGCTGCCCAGCTGGGGTCTGCAGGCTGTGTTTCCCAGGGTGTGGCCAACCAAGAGATTACTTACTCAGTGCGATCATGAATTTAGGTGATTTTTCTACCAAAAACTGTATTACAATGAAGGCAATTACCTACCAACCATGAGCTCCTAGCTCTATAGCAAATGTTTTAGCAGGAGACAGGAAAGGGCTGGGTCACACAGGAAGAGACTGAGCCTGGGTGAGTGAGGGTGAATGAGATGAAAGATCACGTCAGCCTGGCCGTGCCCCTCTCCATGGAGACCTGCCAGGTGTCCCTGTGGACATCAGAAAGATGCAGAATAACGTGACCAGCTCCATGCACCCACGTCAAACGTTCCTTGTGGATGAATTAGAGCTTCAGCGTGCCTTTCTGAGTTGATACAGAATTTCACAGCATGACCTTGGTGAAGAGCCAGGAGAATACGTTTCCCGCCTGTACAGTGGCTGTGAAGATCAAGCTAACAGTTTAAATGAAGGCACCGTGTGAACCTGAAGGCCACAGAGACATGGAGGTTACTATTCTGAGTAACCATTACTATTGATTTTTTCTTAATCTCACTGCAGCTGGTATTCATCTTGGGGCTTCTGAGAATCTTCTCACCAAAAACCCCTGCAGCCTTCAATGCCCTGGATAAGAACATGAATTTGCCCTCGACCCACGGCCCAACTTCTCATTCCGACATCTCATTCAGTCCAGTGGCCAGGAACTGGCTGGAGCTGGAACTCACTCAACCTCTCCTTCCTCACCACTCCTTTTTCACAACCAGATAAGAAAGGCGTTCCTCACACTGTCCTGCTTTCTGAAGTCAGGTGTTACGGACAGTCCTGTGATCAGGGATGGGTGGGGACTCCTCCCCTCAGGGAAGAGGGAGCAACTGAGTTGAGGGCAGGCGCCAGGGCCCCCTGGCCTCTGTCCCCACCCACAGAGCTGGAGGCGAGGCCTCTAACTGCACAGGGCGGAGGCCTCACAGGGAGATGGCACGTGGAGCTGGCCGCAGCCTTCACGGTTATTACTTTGCTGATGTTGCTTGTCTATTTCCCTGTGAGGATGATTCAAGATTTTCAATCTTGAAACTAAACTGGAGACTCCTGCCAGCCCCACACCTGGGGCTGTCCTGGGGAGAGGCCAAAGTCCTGGGCCAGGAGCTGGCCCTGCTGAGTGATGAGCTAATGTCCCCTCCTCTGCTGCAGGGGCCAGGGAGGGGCCAGCTAGCCACTCACCTTTGCTTGGCATCCCTGGGTGCCTGGGCTGAAGATGAGGGGAGACCAAGGGAGGCTCTGTTGCTTCTGCCTAGTCATGTCCTGAATCCAAATGGGCAACAACAGAGCTGCCCCCTTCATGATTCATTCATAAACCATCAAGCGTAAGCACAGTGTAAATGCGCCCACCATTCAGGTTCTCCCAAATCCCCTCCTCCACTTTTTAAAGATCCACTTTATTAAGATACTAGAGGCCTGATGCATGAAATTCGTGCAAGAGTAGGCCTTCCTTCCCTTGCTGCCGGCACCAGCTTCCCTCTGAAACCTCGGACCCAGGTTTCCCTCCGGCCCTGGCTTTGTCTGGAAGGACATCCGGAATGATGTCTGGTCTAATTAGCATATTACCCTTTTATTATTATAGATATTTTGCATATAATAAAATGCACTCATTTAAAGTATACGGTGTGATGAGTTTTGACAAATGTGTACAGCAGTGTAAACGCCAGCAAAATCAATTGTCAAACATTCCCATCATATCCAAAAATTCACTTTCTGCCCCTTCTGCTTCTGTCGCCGTAGTTCTGCCTTTTCTAGAACTTCATGTAGATTTGATCCAGTGGTGTGTGCTCTTTTCTGCCTGGCTTTTTCAGTCAGCATATTGTCTGTGACATTCTTGTACATTGCCATGGGTACCAGTAGTGTTTCTCTTTTCTCTGCTGAGTAATATTCCATTGTATGGGAATATCACACTTTTTAAAATTTTCACTTAGAGTTTACATTCAATATTATTCTGTATTAGTTTCAGCTGTACAGCATGGTGGTTAGACACCCATATACTTCACACAGTGTTACCCTGACACCACAGATATTACAATATTATCGACTATATTCCTTAAGCTGTACTTTACATCCTTGTGACTATTTTATAACTACCAATTTGTACTTCTTAATTCCTTCACTTTTTCCACCTGGACCCCCAGTCCTAATCCCACCTGGCAACTATCGGTTTGTTCTCTGTATCTATGAGTTTGTTTCTGTTTTGATTGTTTGTTCATTTATTTTGTTCTTTAGATTCCACATATAAGTGAAATCATGTGGTATTTGTCTTTCTCTATCTGACTTATCTCACTTAGTGTAAAACCCTCTAGGTTCCTCTATGCCAGTGATGGCAAACCCTTTGAGCTCGGCGTGTCAGCATTTTGAAAAACCCTAACTTAACTCTGGTGCCGTGTCACATATAGAAATTTTTTGATATTTGCAACCATAGTAAAACAAAGACTTATATTTTTGATATTTATTTTATATATTTAAATGCCATTTAACAAAGAAAAATCAACCAAAAAAATGAGTTCGCGTGTCGCCTCTGACACGCGTGTCATAGGTTTGCCATCACTGATCTATGCAGTCTCAAATGGCAAGATTTCATTCTTTTTAATGGCTGAGTAATATTCCACTGTCTATAGTACCACATTTTATTTATCCATTCGCTTATCAGTGGACACTGGTGCCACAATTTCTTATGTGCTCTCTTCTTTTTGACTTTGCAAGAGATGGTCTTTTCAGTCCCCTCTCAATGGGGGTGACCCTCTGGGCCACAGAAGGTCTCTGTGTGTATTGAGTTTTACCACTTACCTCTTCCTGCTAAACTAGGCCCTTTCTCCCACCCCGGTCCCTCCTTTGCCTTTGGTCTTCTGCAAAGCAGACCTACTCTTCTGCTGGTGGTTTAAAATTGTGTTAAAAATAATCACTTATTGCACAAATAGCATAAAATAACATCAAGAGATGCCAACTAAAATTTAAAAAAATGCGGGGGGGGGGGCAGCCCAGCCTTTAGGATTCAGAACCCACTTCAGCAGACGGCCCTTTCCTCACCACCTGCTCTTGGAAACGCCGTGCCTGTGCCAGAGGCGTATTTCACTGTCTATGTCCCTCATGTAGGCACTCTGCTATATTTGTAGATGAATCACAGTTTAAAATAATTATTTTAAACTTTTGAAACATTTAAAGATAATACACGAATATGGTAAAAAATATATTTGAACGGCACAGAAACATGCAAAATGGAAGGACACGTCTCCCTGCCGCTCTCACTGCTTGGGCAGCCCCTGCCAGCAGGTTGGTGAGACTCGCCCCCAGCAATTCACCGTCCGACGTGCATGTTGTTGAAACCCGATAGAACCGGGCCCCCATGTCCTCGCCTTGGCTCAGTGATAAGTCCAAAGGAGACACACAGCTGGCTGCACTTTTGACAGCAGTCCAGGTCTCTGCTTGGCCTGCAAGGGAAGGTGTGTGACAGCGATAAGGAGACAGGCACTCGAGTGCACAGGTGTCTCCGTCAGGCTCCTCTGCTTCCCGCGTGACAATATTGGTGCTCGCTCGGTCTCGGCACAGCTCACAGTGAGCGGCTCTGCAGGAGACACAACCCCCCTACCCGCCCCCGTCCGTCCCCCCCCCCCCCCCCCAGCTTCAGGTCGTCACTTTCTGCTGCAAACACTGGGTGAGTCCCTCCCCTGGTGGAGCCATAGGTCCATGCCCTCCCTGCCAGGTGACCTGGGGGGGGGGGGGGCAGCTTCGGATCTCTGCTCCCATTGGGAAGGGGACTCTGCCCTCTGAGAGGGGGTTCCCTTAACAGAAACAGAGGCTCATGAGCTGGACAGCCGGAAGGAAGGCAATCGCCCTCTATGGTCCCCCGGCAAAACTCCTTTAAAAGCTCATCTCTTGTCCCAACCGCCAGTAGCCCCGCCCTCTCTTTTTTCCAGACTCTGTCTCCTTGATTCTCGACCTTGCTCCTCTCCTCTCCGACTTCCTGTGGAGCGGAGCCCCTTCTCCTTGGAAGAAATGCCACGCGTTTACACTGTAATAACTTGTCCCTGCCATAGACACACGTGAGAAATACGTGTGCGATTTCTACACCCAGTGGAGGTGCCCCTGCAGCGCGTGTCACCTTGCTCCCACCAGTGCAGACGGGGTCATTCTGTTCAGTACAAACAAAACTGGAACTGCCTTATGCCTTCGATGGGGAGTGAATGAGCCATGATTTATTTACATTGTTCTCAGCCTGTAGGAATCCACTGACTGCTCGTTCATTAAAAAATAAAAGGTCCCTGCCCTCCCGTAATTTGTAATCTAACAATATTTTCAATGAGAAAAAACAGAGACTTTCTTATTGATGTTAAAATGTGAGATTTAAAACATTTTAACACATTTTTAGCTATAAAAGTAATACACACCATGAGGAGACATCGGAACCCCAGTGCACTGCTGGCGGGAGCGTAAAACGCAGCTGCTGTGGAAGATGGATGGTGGTTTCTCAAAAAATTAAACATAGAACTACCGTGCGATCCAGCGTCTAGGCCAGTGACGGCGAACCTTGTGAGCTCGGCGTGGCAGCATTTTGAAAAACCCCAACTTAACTCTGTGCCGTGTCACATATAGAAATCTTTTGATCTTTGCAACCATAGTAAAACAAAGACTTATATTTTTGATATTTATTTTATATATTTAAATGCTATTTAACAAAGAAAAATCAACCAAAAAAAATGAGTTCGCGTGTCACCTCTGAAATGCGTGTCATAGGTTCGCCATCACTAGTCTAGGGAGACAGGACATCTGAAGGCAGAGACTTGGATAGTTGCAAACTCATGTTCACAGCAGCATTATTCAGAGCAGCTCAAACGTGGAAACATCGAGGGTCCCTCAGCAGGTGAGTTGGGTAAATGAGATGTGGCAAAGCCCTACATGGAACATGATGCAGCTTTAAAAGGAATGAAATGCCAACACATGCTACAACATGGATGGACCTTGAAAAAAATGAAAGGTGAGACAAATCAGTCACAGAAGGACAAATATTGTACGTTTCCACTTACACGAGGTGTAGAATGGACACATTTATAAAGACAGAAGGTAGAATAGACGTCACCGGAGCTGGGAGAGAGGAAATGAGGAGCTGGTGGTTTGTGGGGACAGAGTTTCCGTTTGGGGAGATGATATGTTCTGGAGTTGGATGGTCAGCATGGCTGCACAACAATACTTTGTGCCACTGAATTGTACACGTAAAAATCGTTAAAGAGGTGAACTTTATGTAGTGCATGTTTTATCATAATAAACACAGAGCAACACATGCACGAGGTGAGCACAGTCTATTCAAGAAGGCGATCGTTTCCCTCCTGGTCCTCCCACCTCCTCCCCTCGCCACCGTCCCTGCCTCGCTCTTCATGGCAGATGCCCGTGGATCCCAGACATTTCCTATGGCCATGCTTGTCCTTATAATATTTTCTTTCCACACAGGTAGAATTGTGCTGTTTATTATTCAACATAATTGTTTTTCCACTTGCTAACATCACAGCCATCTTTCCAGTTCCACACAGACACACCCACCTCATTCTGCCCAGGTGGGGCTGCATGTAGGGGACACCGGGACTTAACCTGTTTTCTGATGATGCGCATCTGGGTCGCTTCCATATGTTTGCTCTATAAACTATACATTGCGCCACATTAATGACCTTTTACACACAGCTGTGGGAATGTGTCTACTGGGTAAATTCCCAGGAAAGGAATTTCTGAGTCAAAGGGCATGTGTGTTCACAGTGTTGATAGATGCTGTAAAATTGCCCTGCAGAAAAGTTGCACCAATTTACATTCCTCCCAAGGGGCACATTGGCCCTTCCTCCCTCCTTCCTCCTTTCCTTCCTCCTTCCTCTCTTCCTTCTACTTAACAAACAGACAAGCAAAAACTTTTACTTTTTCCACAGTAACCTAACAGGAATAAAAATACAATGTACATTACAATTTCTCATAGTTTGGGGGTCGGCTGGTTCTCCGGCAGCCAGTGCCGTAGGCACACTCTTCATGTTACTTGGTCACATCGCCTTCTTAGTCCAGCACTTTGTGTGTTTCTATGACTCACCTTATCTTGAAATGTTTGAGTCTGATGCACGCCTCTTATCTTGTCAAAACAAAGTTAAAAGCACATCTGTCATTCGAAGGAATGACTCTTGTGCTCAGGGTATAATTTTATTTTTGGTTGTGATCATGCTTTACATGATAATTTCCTTGTAGTATTTAATTTTGGACAAGTAATACATTTTCACAGCTCACAATTAAAAAATATGAGCCCGTGGACTGTGCGAATCTCTCTTTTCCTTATTTCCCATTACTAGTTCCTACAGCCCTCCCTCTCCTCAGAAACGCTGATTTTAGTTTCTTATAGATTCTTCCAGAGTTTCTTTATGGAAATACAAGCAAATACAGATATAGATTCCTGTTCTCCTCTTTTTTACACAGAATGTCGTGCACTATCTGTCCACCACCTTGATGAGTGTGCCTCATTAGTAGGTGGAGAATGTCCTCACTCTTTTTCGTAGTTGGGTATGTGCGAGATGTTCCATTGTGGAGGGACCTTATTTATTTCGCCAGCCCTTCATTGATGAGTATTGATGAGTTCTATCCACTTTACTATTACAAACAGTGTTGCAATGAGCATACTTGTGCACAGAGTCATTTTGGGTGTGTACAAGTCAATCTGAAGTGTAAAAGTGGAACTGAAGGATTTGTCTGAATTCTGGCAGATGCTGCCAAATTGCCTTCCTAAAGGGGTTGTGCCAATTTACACTATTTCAAAGGTCATGTGAAAATTCCTCTTTGTCTACAGTCTTACTAACAGTGTGTATTACTGACCCATTGGATTTTTGCCAACCTGATAGGTGAAAATTGGTATCTGTAGTTTTAATTTGCATTTCTCGTATGAGTGAGTTTGATGACATTCTTATACATTTAAGAGCCATTGTATTATTTTCTTTGAATTATTTCTCCTTTTTCCTCTTACTGGGTTATTGACATTCTTCTAGAGACATTTTCTCTATTGGGGAGATCTGATCTTTGCCTGTGATGCGTTGCAAGCCTCCTTCCAGGCAATCTGTCATGTCTTTGGCTTTGCGTGTGGTGCACTTTATCATTGGTTTTTAATTGTCATTGCTTTTATTTTTATATTTTTAACTGAAAGAATTGATCATTTTATTTTCATCTACACTAATAAAAGAGAAACATGCAAATTGGTGTCACTCTGCTATGCCCACCAGCCAATTAGGATGAGTATGCAAATTAACCCAACAAAGATGGCGGTTAATTTGCATATGCAGGTATGGAGCGAAGATTGAAGACAGTGTAGAAGGAAGCCAAGTGCTCTGCAGTGAAGGAGAAAAGGGAGGGATCGAGGCAGCGGAGATGGGAGGGATCGAGGCAGCGGAGAAGGGAGTGAAGCCCGCCTCAGTGGGCTTCACCCCCTTCTCTGCTTCGCTCCGGCCGCAGGAAGCCCTCTTCTTGCAGGAATAGGCCCAAGGAAGCCCTATTCTTGCAGGAATCTTCCTGCAACAGGCCGCTAGTATTTCATAATTGTGAATTCTAAGGGGAAAAAAAGGACACCTACCTACTAAGAAGGGCTCCTAGTGGCTGACCAGGCTAAAATTAAAACAACAGCAACAAAGAAATGAAAACCAGCCTACAGACACTTCTGCACACGAGCCTCTCACACACAAGCTATTCTCTCTTTGATAGAAAGAGGCAGTGAGTCTTTCCTGTCAGGCTGTCACAGCACCACGCTCTCCTGGGAAGGAGGACAAGCAACGTAAACTGATAGAAAGAGGCTCCCCCTGGCTGGGTGGCTCAGTTGGTAAGAGCATCATCCCCATACGCCAAGGTTGTGGGTTTGATACCTGTCAGGGTACATTCAAGAAGCAACCAATGAATGCATAAATAAGTGGAAACAACAAATTGATGTTTCCTTATCTCTCTTTTAATCTCTCTCTCTCGCTCCCACCTTCTCTTCCTCCCTCTGTCTCAAAAAAAAAAAAAAAAAAAAAAAAGGAAAGAAAGAAAGAAAAGAAAGAGGCTCCCTCTCTCCTTATCTGTCTGGTCCAGTCATTCCTGGGCCAGTGGGCACCATCGTGGGATGGGTGGGAGGTCTGAACATGGGGGGCCCAGGCATCATTGGCATGGGTGTGGCCTCATTCCAGGAGTGGGTCCCCTGGCATCATCCCAGGAGGAGGAGGGCCCGTCATTGGCATCATGGGGGTCCCTACATGTGGGTGCTAGCATCATACCAGGGCGAGGAGGACCTGGGAGACGGGGAGGTGGGGCCATTGCCCTTCAGGCAGAGGAGCGGAGAATGCAGTAGGAGGTGTCTTTACTTGTTGAAATGCTGCTGTTGTTTTGTCAATCAGATTTGGAGCCTGCTCTTCCATCCATCTTTTTCTTTTCTTTCTTTCTTTTTTTTTGTGTGTGGGATTTGAAAGTACATTTATTAAAGCTGGGGACAGTGAAACAAGGAAGGGCCTGGAATAGAAGAAGCAATAGCAAGCTAGGCGGGGCTGCTTTCTCTAGAAATGTTATGGGAAAAAATGAGACAAGGTGGGGCTGCTATCAGCTCCCTGGACAGTCAGAGAAAAGGGGGCCTTGGAGACAGGCTGAGGGGGCCGGGGGGAGGGTGAGCCCAGGAGGAGCTGCCCGGCCCACTGCTCCCTGGCTGCAGGTCTATGGGTCTCCTGGGAGTTAGGAGATGCTGCCTGTGGGGAAGGAGAGGGGAGGGAAAGGTGCAGGCGAGCTCCTGGGAGGCGGAGAGCAAGCACACGTGGTCTTGAGGGTTTAAAGGCTGGGAGTTTTGGGAAGGTTTGAGGGAAGGATCTCGATAGAATATTCCTGAGCTTTCCCAGGTGTGCCCTTTCAGGGTAGTGGTCTCCACTGCTTGGTCATCATCAGGACAGAGGGTCACTAGGCATTGCAGCTGGTCCTGGAGTTGCCCACCTGGTTTTGCTGCTTTTCTGGGCCTGGAACGGAAATACAATTGAGGCCTAGATGTTATCTCTAGGGAGGAAAGGTCAGGAGGTCTAAACTGCACTGCCAGCAATATGCCAGGGGAGGACAGGCCACTTGGGGGGAGGGGGGAGGTCCTGGGCCAGTTTTGCCTGTTGCCAGGCACCGAGCTCTCTGTTCAATGACCTCCTGAATGTAGCTGTAAAATGCGGGGCCAGTTTGCTTAGCTGTCTTAGTCGCCCCATCCCACTTGCCAAGGAATGTTCCTAGTGTTTTATTCTCCTGCTTCATTCCTCCCTGAGATTTTCATCCCTGAAATATTTTAGGGGTGATGAGGGAAGGGGGGCTCTGTCTTCAGTAACTGCTTCCTGCTGACAAGGGCCATGGTTCCTGCCTGCATAGGGTATGAAGTCTCTTCTGCCTGATCTACAGGACACAAGGGACTGGGATCCTTGGAGATAGGTTCAGGGCTGAGCAGGAACAGAGAGGCTATCAGCCGATTCTTCTAAAGGGGGGATGGGCTAGAATCCCCGAAGCATCCTCATCCTGACATGGATTGCTGTATCCAGAAGCGAAGTTGGTAATTGCCCCATATTTCATCAACTCAATTACTTAGTCCTGAGAATAGCCTGGTTTCAGGAGGTGGCAATGCAGGTGGGCTCTGCAAGTGAGACCTGGAAAGAGTGGGTGAACCCGTGAATAAGAAAGGCCCCAGGCCACTTCCCCAAGGGCCCTCATCAGCTTCCAAGTCAATCTCCATTCCTCAGAGCTTTCTGGTGACATCCAGAGTCTAGGCACGTCTCTCCACACCATGACATCCCAGTCCAAGTTTTGGTTGATAAAACCACCATCAGAAGCTGGCTTTCTGTGTCTGAGGAGGGTGATCAGGGGCTCTGAGTCTCAGCGCCAGATGTTACCAGTGATGCTGCTGGGGAAACAGCACCAGTTGTTACTGGTGACGTCACAATTATGGACGTAGGAGAAGAGAGCCAGCCGGGCTGCATAGGCTAAGAAAACAAGGTCCCATCTGGGTCACCAGGGAATGTTACTGGAAGAGCAACCGGCCTGGAGTGGGTCTACCTAGGGCCAGCCAGGAGTGCATGGGTTCTTGATTTCACGCAGGAAAGATTTCACAACACGAGTCCAGGTGACATTGAGAGTAAGTTTATTAAAGCTGGGGACAGTGACACAAGGGAGGGCCTGGGACAGAAGAAGCATGCTACTTCATAACTGTAATTTTGCTCCTGTTATGAATCATAATGTAAATATCTGATATGCAGGATGTATTTTCATTGTTACAAATTGAACATAATTAAAGCATAGTGATTAATCACAAAAACAATATATAATTATATATGTGTTTTCCAACGGTCTTAGGTGACCCCTGTGAAAGGGTCGTTCGACCCCCAAAGGGGTCACGACCCACAGGTTGAGAACCGCTGCATTAGAGGAAAGAAGTGAGCCAAGGTGGGGCTGCTGTCAGCTCCCTGGAGAGTCAGAGAAAAGCGGGTCTTAGGGGCAGGGGCAGGGGGTGAGCCTTGCTCCGCTGGTTGCAAGTGGGGACCGTTAGAGTTTGGGAGATGCCCGCCTGTGAGGGCAGAAGAGGGGAAGGGAGAGTGTAGGCATGCTCTGGGAGGGAGAGCATGCCTCCATCCGATCCTGATAGTCTCTCACATCCTTGTGTTTCCTGCCACTGCAGTGTGTCTTTCTCACAGCTGGAGAGGCGCGGGCAGTAGCCCCAATAAAACTTGGGCAGGCCTTTGGCCACATCGTTCCACCTAATCATCATTGCTTTCAAGTTTTAAAAAAAATTTGAAACAATTTCAGACTTTCCCTCGCGCCCTTCTCTCAGCTTCCCCTCCAGTTAACACCTTTCATAACAATGGAATTCCTGAAACCAGAAGCTAATACCAGCTGAGTGCTGTTAGCAAACCTGTGGATTATGTGCACATTGCCCTGGTTTCTCAGCGAATCCTCTCTTTCTGTCCCAGGATCACACTGGGGATCCCATTTTGCGTTTAGTGTGCCTTGTCTTCCTCATCTTCTTCCACTGGTGACAGTCTTTTCTTGTCCCCGTGACCTTGACAATTTTTAACAGTCACAGTCAGGTATGTTATGGAATGTCCCTCAATGTGAGCATGTCTGTGTTATCATTTTGGGGAGGATAACACAGAAATGATTTGCTTTCTCAGCCCATCATCTGGGGCACCTGTTAGTAACACTGGCCATTTGGTTAATATGGTGTTTGCCTGATGTCTGCAGGTAAAGTTACTATTTTCCCTCCTTTTAATTGACAAGTGTTTAGGGAGATGCTTTAAGGCTGTGCAAGTACCCTGCTTTTCCTTAAACGTTCACCTGCTTGCAGCCAGGACTAGCTGCATAATTTGTGGGGCTCATAGCAAAACGGAAATGCAGGGCCCCTTTTCCAAAAATTGAGAATGACAAGGTAGTGAAGCAGAGTGTTAAGCTAAGCACTGGACTTCAATTAAATCCTATTTCCCTCATTACTCCTACATTTATTAATTGGAACTCTTCCGTAAGGAAGAGCTGTCCCTTTCCCCCCAT